GCACCAAACCATTCGCCAGAGGCTGCCCTTGTGCAATTCTGCTCTGGCACCATTAGGAAGACTGTTGCCAAACATAGCAGGCAGACGGAGACAAGATGTTTCCCTGAGACTCGTTGCACATCAAACAACTCATCACTCAACGGCCATGCTCGCCGGCCGCGCCATCAGGCTCATTGGGCCGGATGAGAACACTGGGCTGCAAAGGGCCCGTGCCCGCAGCCTGCAACCTGCTGAGGCACTTCGGCCCCGGACGTGGAGTTTCAGGAAGTCGTGACAGACCCAGGGAGCTTCTGCCCAAGAGAGGCCTCGAGCAGTTCTCAGAGCTCCGGGCAGGGGCTCAACGGCGCAGCGTGGAAAGCGTCAGGTCCAGGTCCTGGCTGAGAGCTCTCTCCGGCCTCCCGCTTCGGGCCCTAATTGGCGCCCTTATTGCAGGCACCCAGAAAAAAGGGCCCGGGATACGGAGCAGGAGAAACCCGGGCCTAGGTCCCATACTTCGCAAGGGAAGCGAGCGCCAGTCCTGGCTCGCACATACGGCACAGGCGCACAGCAGCTCGTCTTGGCCTTGGCCGACGACACGCCGCAAGCCGAAGTGGCCAAAGGCCCGCACAAAGGAGCGGCAGATGAAACGGCCAAGACGGTGTTGTCAGTCGTCAAGGCTGCGGCCACGGTCGGCGATCGGTTAAGGATTTGCGAAACTTCGGTCTTATCTGCCAGCCATAAAGCTATGTCGACCCATATAGACGACAGAGGGTCAGCCACCTAGCCTTAATGAACTGCATCGTTACCGTGTGCGTCCCCGCGCTTAACCGGAATCAGCGTGTTGCTGGCAGTGATGGCTAGCAGCTTGCAAGCCCGTCGCGGGCCCCTGCAGGTACCTCTGAGCCACACTGCAAACGGCCATTTGCGCATGATTTGCATCCTCGATTTACGATCTCCATGTTCTGCCGTGGGCCAGATGGGCGTGTCGTCACTTGCATTTAGGCCCTCCAAGCAGCGCCGAGCACCGATCGAATTGGGTGCCTGGGCGAAGCCATCACAAGCGACACAGACACCGCTTGAGGGCCCCGGAGCGTTGTAGCAGCATTGGCTTTTTGGATTCAAGCAGCTGGTTTCGAGCGATTTCTCGAGGTATGGAAGGCGCAAAGCACGGGCATGTGCCAGGAGAACGCACGGAAAGAAAAAGCACACTCTGCAGGCGCACGATGCTTCGGGCTCAGGTTGCCTTCGCACTGAGCTCAGCTGGGGCCAAGCAAATTCAAAGGCCGGGTCGTGTCAGTGCCAGTCTGCCAGTGCTGCCTGCGAGGGTTGACCAGTCTTGGAAGGGCAGGCTGAAGGCTCCAGGCAGAAAATCTTGCAATCCTTTTGCGAGGTACCGCCACGACAGAGATTGAGGGTGCACACGCAGCTGCCATTGACAATGGAGAGGGCCCTTGAGTGGCTCCTGTTGTTCCAGCCCGCCACAGTCGTGCTAGAGCAGGTGGAGGGCTTCATGGCACCTTATCCTGTGACGAGGATGGGACACCTTTCGACAGGCAGGCTATCGGTTGCTGGATTGATTTCTGATGTCTGTCCTGTCGATGTATGCCGTCTTTGCCGATAGCTGCTGATGCCACTGGGTTCTTGAGATTCTGAGATGTGTCAGTTAACTGTGCTGGGCTGCTGGGCACAGGGCCGGTTCCAGTAAGTCAGTAAGTAGCCTCCATTTCCAGATGCCGTTCGAGCTTGGCTACACGAGCGAGGTGCCTTTCTCACAATGAACTTCGATGGACTCCGTGCCCAACACGGTTCAACGGTGGATTCCACATTTCAATTCACCTGTGGGCGACACTGCCGGCAAGATCCTCGCAGTTTTCAATCGAGCCGCTTCGCAACATGCTCGAGCCCACCAAAGGCAAGTCTTGACCCAAAAGGAGACACCAGGAGTCTGAAAAAAATGAGATTCTTGCCGCAGGGTATGTCTCCGTGGCTCCTGTCTGAAGCCGGAACGCTCCCACAGTTGCTGAAGCCTGCCTGGGAAGCTTGACTGCCCTCTGGGGAGAGCTTCGGTCACATGCCACGACGAGGAGCTGCAAGATCTTCATCAGAAGCGCTCCCCACACACAGGGGGAATGCATGACAGGCACCTACAGACCTGTACCAAGTGAAAGGGGTGCAAGACCACGGTCCTTTGTCGAGAACTTCGAGGCAGCCAGTGAGACAGCCAAGAGACCTGTCGGCTTGCAGCACATTGCGCAAACTATGTCTTGATGTCAGCGCCTCCCATGCCTTGCTCCGAAGAGCTTCGGATGAAGCTGCAGACAAACAGGCGATGTCAGACAGCTCTCGCCAGCACCAGCCGCCAAGCTCCACACGAGTCGCCCGCAAGCTCTCAAGTTCACAGGCACTCAGCGGGACTATCGTCATCATCTTTGCGCAAGGCCAAGTGGTCTGTCCTGTACGCACACAAAGCTTCCGAAAGGCACTAAACCCGAGGCCGGTGCAGACGAGCATCGATGCGAAGGATGCGATGACCCCGATGCTGGAAGGCCGCACCCAGCCATGCCACAGAGGTCTCGGTGACAGCAACCTGCTGCACCCTGCAGATGAACCATGAATAAGTCGAGCAGAAGTTTGGAAGTGATGCAGCGGCATGGGGTTCGATGATGCGAGGCACTCTTGCCACTTCTAACCAAACATCGCATCTGCACTGCCCGCTCTTCCACCCAAGAAGCCTTCATGCGAGCCAAAGCCCCGGACGGCGGGGGCACGCGAAGACTCGGGCAAGAGCTCGTCTCACTTTGTCGTGCTGGCTTCCGCATCACACCGCAAAGGCTGCACGAAGCTGGTGCTGCAGGCCTCAGGGCTTCGCCGCCTGCTGGCACCTTCCTCTCACCTCCAACTGTGAATGTACCTCGGACGAGGCTCTGAACACCGGATGGGGTCGAAGAGCAGACGAGGAAGAAAGAAGCAATGGGTGCTTCAAGGCTTGGCAGCATGCCAGCTTGTGGTCAACGTGAACCCGAATCCGAATCTCCGGCATTAAAATCAGAGGCTGCAAGCTTGACGTTGCCTTCTCAATCATTTCAATGTAACAGTTCACCCGCTCTTCTAACTCCTTTTGCCACCCCCCCCCCCCTCCCGCTTCCTCACACGCATCCACGCGGCCTTTCCTGAATCCTGATTCAGAGCCCGTGACCAGCGCTCTTGGGCCTCTTTGGGAGGGGAGCAGAGAAAACTTGCATGGAAACGACGGTTGCTGCGTTGATCTTGCGGCCGCCTTTACCGAAATTCGGTCTGGAAGCCACGTTGGGGATGTCAAGTCTGCTTCTCAAGGACTTACAAAAGAGGCGGCCCCTGGCATCCCGAAGAGGGTCCTTATGAGCTATCGGCGCCTCAAGACCAGCCCTCGCTTCTGATGAAGCCCCTCGTGTTCAAATCCCCGGAGGAGTCAGGGCTGGGCGGCCAGGACGGCCGGGAGTGCTTCTTTTTTGTGCGTCTCAAACCGTGAGGAGGTGCAGTCTGACGCTGATCTGCTCGTGAGCAGATCGCGATGATCGCATCAGTCTCGATGAGCCTGGCATCTCATGCGCTTTAGAGCAGCTGCAATGCTGGAGTTTTTCACCAGAGAGAATTTCATTGAGAGGACCCGTGGGTCCGCGCTTCCCGAGAACCGGGGGAGCCTGGTAGGCTCCCAAAAACACCAAGGAACAACCTCGAAGAAGATTTTGTTGGGCAGGAATAGCAGCGAAGAGCGTGTATGAGCGTTTGAAGTTGCCGTGCGCCGCAAGATGCGGCAAGCTTGGCACTGCTACGCCGCATCCTGCGAGATCTGCAAGCTGCCACTCCACGACGTAATGAGGGCACGCAGGCACTCTTCAGCTCGACCAGCAGTGCTGCATCACGCCAAGAGACTGAAACGACGCGGCGATGCTGCTCTGCGAATCAGCACACTGCACAGAATCGGTCGTGTCAAACTGAATCACTCTCTTGAGTGCCGCTAGAACCCGCCAGGCCAACAACGTCTCAAGTGCGGCACAGGCCGCACGGGCACTTCAAATGCCAGCGCCCAAATGTTCCTGCAGTGGCGTGTCACACTTTGCACTCGAGGTGCCCTGCCATAACCCAAGCAAGAAATGGCTGTGGCTGCGATGGCTGCGCAAGCGGGCTCCGCCTTCCCGAGCACTGAGAAGCCAGGACAGCCGGGTGGCTAGCGGCCACAGAAGCTGGCGGTCGCCGCCCTTAGGGCCTTAGGGTCGGAAGGCGGCACGCAGAAGTGCGATGGCCATGGAAATGAGGAGAGACGAAAGAACGGATGGTGGAGGGCCGCTCAGACCGAGTCCGAGCACCTGGAAGCGGCGACCTCGGCCCTGCTAGTCGCCCTGTTGAGGTGAACTCATCGAGATGCGTACCCGAGCAGTTGCACTTGAAGCTTCTGGAGCATCTCCTGCAGCAGTAGGTCGGCTGTTGCCAGCGACTCGAGCCGTTAGAGGAGCTCAGGGAGGGCGTGGCTTGCTAGCGACCCGCCTGTCATTGCTCACCTCGCTGTTGCTTTCCGCTGGGCACCAACCGCTCCGATTCCTATGCACCTTTTCGTGTAGGAAAACTCGCACTGGATGGCAACTGCGACGAAAAGCTCTATGTCTCCAAGCAGCCCTCCCGCTGCGGTGCCGTCATGTGCCGTCAGCGAGAGTCCGGATGCAAACCAGCCTGCAGAAGTGTGTCGCCTCTGCCAAGGAGGAGTAATGGCTAGGATGAACATGTGATGAACATGTTTCCGGCAATCCTGACAGGTGCCCTCGGTGGTTCCACCTCTGAGCCAGACACCTTCACGGAAGGCCATGGCAAGGCATGGGGTGTGGAGGCAGACCGAGGCTCAGATGGGGAATCATGCCACGGATGTCGACTCCGTGATGACTGGAACTGGGCTGCAGCTCTAGACCAGCAAGTCTGGCAGTGAGGCGGGCATCACACAGTTCCTCATGAAACTCTGGAAGAGCTTCCGGCAAGCTTCTGCTGGACGACAAACTCACGGCACGGAGCGGCATCTCATGCGGCATCCACTTGTCACCGGACGGCTGGACAAGATTGATGCTGGATGGCTGCTCCGGGACCGCCGCTGAGGCCCAGCGAATCAGTGCTGCGGGCACTTGCGCCTTCTGACGTCTGCCTGCTGGGCGCCTGGAAGCTTCGGGTCCGACTTCGCCAGCGGCTGGAGCTCAATCGTGGCGGCTAGACTTTAGCAGCACTCTGCTGCTCGAGGGGTGTGAAGGCACCAGCAGGAGCGCAGCTCTCTATGGAACACACCGCCAGATCGGAGTGGCTAAGCAGGTATCATTTTTCGGAAACTTGAATATGGGTGACGTCAACAGTATCGGTGGCACTTACAGTCGCAGGCTAACGATGCTTTCTGCAACATCCGGTCCGGACGTGAGTACAAGCCGGCAGGGCAAGCAGCCACAATGAAGACGCGCTGGCGACCACTCAGCTTCGCAAACTTCGGGCACGATCTGCTTCCACAGAGGCTACACGTGCTGCACATGCAAGCATGGCTCTTGCTCATCTACCTGGCATCATGCACAAAGCAGCGGCTGTCTTTCAGACTTCGCGGCAACTTGTGCCGTTGATGCGTCGTCACTCTGATGACCTGCCATGCTGCAGCGAAGAGCGCGTCTACTGCGGTGAGGTACTGCCAAGCCAAAATTCCCGAAACAGGCACGAAGTCTTGGTGACTCGAGGGTAGTAGCTGGCGCTGTCCATGGGCCGCAGTCGCCTCTTTCAGATGGGAACATGTGCTGACCAGCTATGACCAGATGCACGAGAAGTCGGTGAGTTGCTCATGACACGGGTGGTGCTTGTCGTCGTGGTTCTGAAAGGCCAGGATGCGTCAGAAACGGATTTGACACCTGCGAGGAAGAGATGTGATGGCTCCCTTCCGCCAACGGGTCGACAGGTATGAGCAGTACTCCTTGCAGCCCGCTGATCTCCCCTGTAGCACACTGTAAACCAGGACCCAAGCTTGGAGTCTTGGAGAAGCTGCAGAGGCAACAACCGAGCCGAATCAGCCACAACTCCTCCACTCCTGAGCACCTTTGCAGGTACAATACTTACAGCAACATCGACAGGGCAGCGATGTCCACCGGCGGCAATCACGCAAGATGAAACTTCGATACCATCAAGCCCGGGCATGAACGTATGCTATGGATATGTCTGCAGGGAGTTAAGACTTCACACGCAGGATCCTGACTGAGCGAGCGTCGTGATCTGAAGGAGATCTTGGCGGGATGGGCCCCCTGCTCACGGAATGCCTTTCGGCCGCCAAAGAACAAGACAGGAAGGCATCTTGGTGAGAGCGCAGCTTGCAAACATTCCGGATGTTACAGGGCAGTTTAACAGTGTGCGCGCCACGGCCGGGCGCCAGCACCTGTTCACAGATGGGGCTTTCATGCTTCAAGATGTGAAGGGCCTTGCTTTGGCAGGTTGGGGCGTCATCAGTGCTTCAACTGGAGACGTGGTGTCCTGTGCGCCACTACACGGAGTGTGGCAAACAGGTCCTCGCGCCGAACTGTGCGCCGTGATCAGCGCGGTCAGGTGGGCCATCGCAACACGCGTCGCCGTTAACCTTTGGACCGACTGCAAACATGTGGTGCTCGGAGTAGGCTTCTGGATAGCCCTTGGGACCCCCTGCCGATTGACAACCAGGATCTGTGGTCGCAGTCGGCGCAGCTTTTGCAGCAGCTTGAATCGGGCTTCTTGCAAATTGTGCACATCCCATCCCACTTGGACCCCGCGCGATGTGAAAGTCCTTTTGAGGAATGGGTGGCTAGGCACAATGCTCATACTGTACAGGCTACTTTTCTGAAGAGTTGTGCTGCAGTGGCGTGTGGTCTGCTCATGCGCTCTCCGGGGTTGCTCATGGGCGCTGATGTTGAGCTTATGAAGAAAGCACGGGCACGACTATCAGAGTTTACTGCAACTCGCCCAATACGGAAGAGTTGCGATTCGCTCTGCACTGCTTGCGCTGTGCACGGGCCTCTTAGTCGAGTGAGATATAAGCCTTCACACGCAGAATTCTGACTGAGCGAGCTTCGGATGGGCCCCTGCTCACTGAATGTGTTTAGGCCGAGGAAGACAGGAAGCACCTTGGTGCGGGATGCAGCGTGACAGCTCAGCCATCGTGCCGACACCTCATCCGAGATCCCATTTCGATTTTCCAGATAAGGAGTTAAAAGCTCAGGGCGTCGGGGTTCCAAGCTGTCCAACTGAAACTACCTAAACTACGAAGCAGTTGAGCACTGGTGGATAGAAAGGCTCAGGGCGTCAAAATGCCAAGTTGTGTTGAAGCTCAACTGGATCAACTCTAGCCTTCCACGAGCCTGCGAGGGTGCGCCGCCCGGACATCAAGGGATGAGGACCGAGAAGACGGCGCAGATCAGCCCACTCAAGTGAATTGTCGACAACATCTGCGAGCGGAATGCAGGAACTGCAGGGTGCCGCTTACCCTCGCTTACCACGTGGTGTCGACAGTTGCCCTTTTGCGCCCTTGGTAAAATTCTGCAGGTTGCCAGCATGAAGGTCTGATATGGGAGCCGACCACTGCTGGCGGCCTTGGGGTTTGCAAAGGGCGACCGTGCCCTGGCAATGAGATACCTTTAGACATGTTGCTTCAGCTTCCTCGGGAAAATAGTCAAAAGAAACCCACATCTCTTAGGCAGTGGCCAGCAGCATGCAGCACGAACTTTAACTGCCGACAGAAGTGAGCTAAGGTCCGTCTCTAGCTTGCTTCCTTGAAGACTCTGTTGCAAGGCTGTACAGGCGACAGCTTGGTGGCGAGGCAGTTACCATGCTTCGTGCATTGACATGCTGGAGGAAGCTTTGCGATGCAAGAAAGCGAGCGCCGAAGCATTGCGGATGCACGGCGGAGGAGCCCAGTTCTGGCATGTCCGCACCACTTTCTGAGTGCGAGGTCCTTGCAATGCAAACGTAGGCGCTTCATGCTGCCGGACAGCACTGAGCAGGAGATGTCAAGTCACTTCTTTGAATGCAGGCAGCACAGGCGGCCTGTTCTGGAAATACCCGTGTGCTAGCTGATGCCAGACTTTGGACTGAGATCAGCAGCCTGTTAACATGTGCCGGCAACCACGCACTAACGGTGCAATTGACGCCGCACTACCTCAAATGAAACCGTAATCTCAAAGACAGCAGAGTACCCCTCACGGGCACGGAACTCGTGCAACAGTGGTGTTCCAGTGCTACGGAAGCACAGCACTGTGGCGGCCGTCGTGGCAACAAAGGATGGGTTCTACAGTGTGTTGAACAACCGTGTGGCATCGGGGTCCGACACGCTGCATTTTGAGATTCGAGATCAGAGTGAGCACTTGAGGAAAATGTTGAAAAGGATTCTGTCAATTTGAACCAGTCCTCCGACCTTGACCTTGGCTTCGAAGTGACATCTCTATGCGGGCCGCGTAGAACATCAAGCAATGCTGTCTTGTTCTGCTTGCACAAGCTTTGCCTCGGCCGTAGTGAAGGCAGACCATTTACACGGCGTGTTGGATTGCCTTCTTTCCATGTGGCAGGAGAGCCCGGATCGCGGCCGGACATACAACACCGAGGCATTACCTGCAAGAGTGAGGAACTGCTGAAGCACGGATCTCAGAAGGCAGCACCGGGTCTTGAAAAGAGATAACAGGTATCACAACCCGCAATGGCCAGTGGTGGGAACACGAGCCACTGGTAGCTCTCCCAGCCGCACATGTTCCCGAAAAACCTTCAGACGGATGTGCCTGGGCTGCAAACAAAGCGTTCAGACAGACAGACACACACACACACACATGTGCGTGCACACACACACGCACACCCGTGCGTGCACACACGCACGCGGGCACACACACACACACGCACACACACACATGCAAACACGCGGAGAAATTCCACGACAACTCTCGGCGCACAGACATCAGACTGCCGATAGCCTAGAACATTCCAGCCCAGCGACAGTGGGTCGGGAAGAACTTCGGCCTTCGATACGACGTTTCGCATCGCAGTCCCCTCATCAAAGTTCCGCGACAACCGCACAATTCATACCTGAACAGCTGCAGACATGGACGTCAGAAAACGATGTACTGCACGAAGTTTCACAACATCTTGCAGCATGCACTCAATGTGTGAAGTCTGTGCTCGTATAAGAAGAAAGTAACACCGACAGGATTGCAACGCCAATTCCACACAATGATTGTCAGTGCAACCGACGATGGGCCCAGATGCCTTGCATGCCCAAGGCTCCTTCGATGCTCCGAAGGCCCTGCAGCATCTTTGGAGATCAAGAGACGCCGCTGCAGCACTTGAGCCGAAGCGCTGCCCGCCCCTGCTCCGAATGTGTGAAACAGATGCA